TCAGAAATGGCTCCAAGTAATGCCAATCTTCAGCCCAGGCTATGTCTAGACTACACTGATCTATCGGAAAAAGGTATGGAAATTGCGGAGTGCAATTCGTATACCTTTTTCTGATAATTTTTTCACAAGAGGCTTTTCCCAAATTTGGCCTGTCGATACTGTGACAAATTTCGGAAAACCCTCCTCTTACAGAAGAGCCCTTCTTCCTCGTGGAAGGAGGAATACAGGGACTTCCGAAAGAGTGCGTCTGCTCTTCTGCAAAAAAAAAAAAAGCAGAAGAGCAGTCGCGTTCCCTGAATGCAGCAGAGTTTTTCCGGGATACCTCTGGGAGGAATCCCGGAAAAACCCTGTAGTGTAGATATAGCCCCAAATTATTATTTTGTGATGATTTTTAAGTTCCTACATTTAACCAGGTTTATAACTGAAACTGAAACATTGAAACCTCAGTCTCTGCTATAGTACTCTGAATAGTATTGGTATCAGACCTAATTCAGTGTCATTTGTACCTAGTATTTATTTATGATACAATGAGCCATCTTTCATCTGAGGATATGTATTATAAGTTATGGCTAAATAAAAAAATACCACACAAACTGTTTTTTCCCTGATCACCATGCCTGATCTCATTTGTCTTTTTTCAGTACTTTCCACCAGAAATGCATGATTTTCTGCAGTAGTAAAGCAACAGTTTTCTGGCTGGGCTATCTGTTCAAGTAATGCTATAATCAGTCTTCAAATTGGTATGGAGATCCAGCCTCACTCTCATCTCATATCTCAGATAACAACATGGCAATTCTTCAGCTGGTACTAGAAATTCTCTGAGAGTTTCATCAGTTTCTGCAGATTTTAAGCTGTTTTTGAAAAAGCTGTGAAGAGACCATAACTTTCTGTGTTTGAAGCACTGCAATGCTGCTTTACTATGCCTGAATCATTTGAACTGGAACACTCTTATAGACCTTTCCATCAAAGAATAAGCCTGATACGTTTAGACATTTGTTGCATAAAGGTGAATGATTTAAGCAACATTAAGGTTAAGCCCAAGCAGTTCAAAAGTGGCTTCTGATTTTGGATGACCAACTTGACACATCTCGGACCTGATTTTTGGAGACGCTGATCACTCACAAGTCCAGCTGAAGTATATAAGAACTGTGGGTGAAGTAAATAAGAGCTGTGGATGGTCTTCTGATCTAATGGTCTCTTTAGGCCTGAAAATCTAGGAATCTATATAAAGTGTGAACTACTCCCATTCATCTGTGAGAATATTATGTCTCTGATAGACTATACACATCTATTATGAAAATTCCAGGGTGCAGCAGAGCTATAGTAGATTTTAGTATTCAGAAAACCCTGTTGTGCTTTATTAGTCCTCTCTGAACTGCATGAGATCCTCTCTGTTGTAGAGATGCTAAGAACGAAGTCACCCAAAGCAATCAATGTCAGTATGGATGATGGCTCCTCTGGGTTAGCTCATGAAAACCAAGGTACTCTCTCAGGTGGCTCACTGACTCAATGCAAACAGCTGGTCAGACACTGAATCTCATTTTGGACTGAGAATTAAGATAGAAAACATGGAACTTGCATTTTGATAACAAACATGATTATTCCTGGGTGTCTTCACTGAGGGGGCATTTACACAGCAGGGCTTAACTCAAAATAATCTACGCAAATTGAACTACGTCAATTGTGTAGCTTATTTCAAAATAGCTTATTTTGAAATGGGAACACCTACACAGCACTTATTTTGAAATAGAGCACTCTTCCTCCGACTTCCCTTATTTCTTGTACAATGAGGGTTACAGGAGTCAGAGTAAGAAGACCTCCAGTTTGACTGTATATCAACATTAATTCAAAATAAATGCCTGCTGTGTAGACGCAGACTAATTTATTTTGTAATAATGCTAGTTATTTTTAAATAATGTTGCTGAGTAGACGTACCCTCAGACAATTTCAATATCCTTGCTGTGAGAAGGCTTCGTTTTACTTTGGGAATACGATTATTTAATGAAGACAGAACTTCCAGTTCTATAGAACAAAAGCCTTTTCTGGAGAGTTTTGGCCTGGATACATCAATGAGGTTCTGTAGGTGCTCAGGGAGCATCAAGTTAACACAGTGCAAACTGGATTAGTTTTCTTTCTGGTTAATACAATGTAATAGTGAGACATGTGGCATATTTGCAGAGAGGACTGCCAACATTTCCTTTCTGGAGCACAAGGTACCAGCTTCTCTCAAAGAAGCAAGTGTAACATGATCAAGAAATCATCTCTTGAAACTGGTCTTTCTAATTATCACCCCACCTCAAATTTTCTTTTCTTGAAGCAGGTTACAAGGAAGGAGTAACACAGGAACTGTGCAAATACAAGGAATCCTGAGACTTCTTTGATCCTGACAGAATTATAGAGACCACTGTGAAGCTTTTTGGTTTCTAATCTCATCCTGGGAATGAATAAAAAATCAAGTTCAACCACTGTTTTTGATATTGTTCACGATGTGGTTTTAGTACCATAGGTGAAGAAACAAAAAGGGATAAATGGAATTACTTAGGTGGCATATCATGTGGTTCCGGTGGCAAATCAGGTCATTGCACATTTACGCTAATGGTACTCATGCAATCTTTTGCAGGATTTTATTCTTTCTTCCCTCCCGTTCAATGTGCATTTCTTCACATTGGGAAAGACAGAAAACCACTATGGGCAGCAATACCTCCAATGCACAAAACAACACTCAGCCATCACACAGAACTAGCCCAAAATGTTTTTAATCTTGTACATTTGAAATAATTTTGCAATCTTTTTGCCTTGCAATGCTAACATTGCTCTGACAAAAAATTACTAGAACATGTTCAGCATAAGCTACTTTTAAACTTTAGCTGGGGCGGAATTATACTACTGTTATTAGTAGTAGGTTTACAGTGACTACAAGTATTATGTGTTTCCCAGAAGATAATTAAATGGTGTTTCTTGCAATATTTCACAGACTGCACTGCCTTTCAATTAATTTCCATGTGCAGTTAAACCTTGTGGTTTTATTCTACAAATTCCTAGTTACTTGAAGAAACATTTTCCATATGCTGTTACATCAGCTGAAACATGTGAGGGACAGTGCCCTTTTTAAATTGGAAGGTGGGTGATGGAGGCATAGGATTGTCAACGAAGCACTATTAACTTCATAATTTGCTTTCCTCCTTTGAGTGCCCTTCTAGATGTGACAAAATGATGGGAAAGGCTAAGAGGGCAATATGGCATAATTACTTTTTGGATATTTGGACCAAAAATATAGAATATGTATTTTTTGATATATTTTATATATTAGCAACACATTATGACACACAACTCCATGGGTCTTTCTCCTCTAGCAGAGACAATGTTGTCTTCTACTTTTCTTGGACTCAGAAGGAAATTAGAATTTGGATAAAAAATAACTCACTCATACTAAATTCAATTAAGATGAAGATGATATGAGTAAGAAGAGAAAAGCAGTCAGATGAACTAAAAAACCCCCATGACTCTGTATCAATGTTATGCAACCATCAGTGGTTAAGAAAACGCACAATCTCAGGGTTCTGTTATACTCATTGCAGTTAGACCCAGCACAGCACTAGTCATCCAAAATGCCTTCCTTCGTCTTCACCTGATAAGAAGACTTCACTCCCCTCCCCCATTCTTGAAACAGGACTTAGCTATATGGCCTGATGCTTTTGTCATCCCAGGTTAGATTAATGGACTGTGCTATATGACAACATATGATTGACGGCATATGCCAAGCAGAAATCCATTCAGCAATTATAGAGTAATGAAACACAAATATCAAACGACTAGATGTTTATACTTCTAATAAAGATATCCACAGTGAAACTGGATAGAATAAGAAAGTGATGCTTTAGGGCATCAGGCAACCATTCACAGACAGAGTTCAGGAAGAAACTTCTATTGTAGAGAGACAATTATTTCATAGTTTTCCACTACAGGATGCCTCATAATTGCCTCTGAAACATATGGTATTAGTAACTATTGCAGAAAAGATACCGAACAAGATGGACCTCTCCTCTAAACTGATATAGATGTTCCTGATATGATAGGAACCTATCATACTTAGGAACTAGCTATCACCAGATTATCTACAACTAATACTACCTATCACCAGATTATCCAGTTACACTAGTAAAGAATTTTTTGAAAAACAACAAACAAACAAAAAAGACCCAGAGGCTTTGAAGGCCTACAAGCACTTGAGTTTCACGTCAAAGGCCAAATTAAATACTAGCTGTTTGGAAACAAATTTTCAGTATGGACAGATTAGTCTATGAAATTTACCTACGTCTAAAGTAGTTGGTACTGGTCATTGCTGGAGAAAGGATGCTGGAGTAGATGGACCTTTATTCTGATCCACCATATCCAGACAATTTTTATGTTCCCATGCTCTGGGCTATGCATTCGTTCCCTGTTCAATTCTGGATTAATTTCAAGGTGCTAGTTTTAATAACTGTTGAGTGGACTAGATACTAGCTAGTGCAGAGCCCCTCCTCTCCACCTGCCATAGCATTTGTGACAGACTTATCTCCACCTAAAGCCAGTCCCTCCTCAATAGGATTTTGGGATATAGTAAGTATTTTACTAAAAATCAGCAATCTAGTTCTTTAACTGGTATCAAAAATGTTACAAGCAAGAAGAATAAAGAAGGACATTCTCATTAAAATTTTGTGGAAAATATCTTCAGGATATTTTGAATACTGTTACCTTCTTTTTGTTGTTTATAAATTTTCATTTACCTTTTCAGTGTCAACTAAGAAGTGAATGCCCTATCTAACAATAAATTACATACTGATAAATATGACATTTAGAAAATGTACAGATATCTGGAAGGAAGGATTTTGATATTTTGCTTAACGAGAAAGAGGCTTGCATGACAAATAAACACCACCAAAAAAAGCTACATTTCTTGAGTGTTTTCCTTCCCTCCTTTTTCCACTGTTTTTTGTTCCTTTGTTTTCTGGTATACATACCCTTAAGGCAGCTTGTCCTGGAGGCCCTTCATCTCCCTAAGAAAATCAGAGGGGAGGAGAGTTAACAGTTCCTTTCACTTACTTTTACATCTAGTTAGAAGATATCAGACAGAAACATAAGTAAATTTGATATCATATTAGTCAACCATATGATGCTTTTACATTACAAAAGCATATGTAAAATCTAAAATACCTGCACTAGATCTGAAGAAAAGCTCTGTACAGCTTCTCTCTCTCCAATGGAAGCTGGTCCAATAAAATGTTTATTTTTTGTATAAATAAAATGTTATTTCTGTATTGTCCCAGATGTGCATAGTATTTTACACATAAACAGAAAGACAAACCCCTGATCTAAAGAGATTACAATCTGAGAAACCAATGCTACAGTCACTACACAAGATTAATTTAATGTACATAAGTTAGCTCATTGGACTCAATATGATTGTTTATATTTGAAAAGTCGTGTTTGTATGTAATTTTTAGAATTAGATCCTCAGGGCCTAAGTATACAAATAAGGCTGAGATCCATGCCCTAAGCTAGATAAAGGACAGCAAGGGATGGCCTGACAAAATTGGGAGCAGGGCTTGGGGAAGACTGGGGGATTGAGACAGTGTGGACTAGGCCATGAAACCCTCTGCTGTAGACTTGTGACCAACAGGGGAGCTTGCAAGAGGTGAGTGCCATCCCATTACACGGTTGTTAAATACTGTATAAAAATAGATATCACAGTCATTAATGCACACATCTTGTTGATTCTTATACTAAAATAATTTATATTTATATTTAGAGTTTTAAAATACATCGATATATTATATTTAACATTTGAGAGATCAAGAGAGGACAGAGGGTGTGTGCTTTTGTGGATGCTAGCAATGGAAGACAGTAATGATTATGCTTATTAAGATGAAAAGCACAGTGCATAAGGACTCATATTGTTGTTAACAAAATATGGGGGCACAGATTGAACAATGAGGATTAAACAAAAGATTGAGGAATTGCTCATTCAGTGAGCATATTCCATCCTACATACTAAGTGAGACCAGGCCTTGTGGGGGAAAAAAAAGCTGTATGTGATCATGTAATTAAAGATTATATCATAATACATACAAAAGGGCCCAACTGAATTTTTGCAGGCAACCTTAATTCTATTATGTCTCAACTTTTCAGTGTTCATCTTTGCGACTATAATACTCTTCTAACAATTTTATATGTGCAATATGTCTTTGTGTGTGTGTGTATGATGTGTGTGCTAATTAATTTATAGACACACAAATACCTTTTCTCCCTTAGGACCAGCCAGACCAGGTTCACCAGGATCACCTTTTAAGCCCTATACAAATAAAAAAAGCATATAGTACATATACATTTTTGATTCACAAATGATCTTGGGCAAAATTCTCTATTAGCATAAATTAGCATCTGTTAATCAAATCAGTGTTAAATCACTAATGTTATTAGTACTGAAATACAGGAAACAATTTATTGTTTTCAAAAACCAAGGGTATGTCTATACTATGGGATAAGGTCAAATTAAGATATGCAACTTCAGCTACGTTAATTGTGTAGTTGAAGTTGAAATACCTTAACTCAACTTTTAGCACTGTCTACACTGCAGGAAGTCAAAGGGAGGACACTCCCTTCGACTTCCTTTACTCATCGTGGAAGCAGGACTACCAGCATTGACCAGAGAGCCCCTCTCAGTTCAAATTACCGTGTCTTCACTAGGCCCGCTAATTTGAACACTGGAAGATTGACAGCGGCAGCTTTAATCTTCTCTGTAGTGTAGACATTCTTGAAGAGACTCCTACCAGAAGTTTTAGGTGCCCTCACCTGATACAGGGTCAGATTATCTGGACAGAAGTGTAAAGGGAATGGGAACATCCTCTAGAGTCCAGCTCAGGATCTCTTCCATATGGCCTTGCAGGCAAAAAGCCAGGTCATACACCACTCACTCCACCGTGTCCATTAGGGAAGTTATGTGGAGGATAAAGATGAGAAGCAGGAGGAGTAGTTGGACTGTATATGACAGGGAGTGAAGTCTCCAGCTGACATATTGTTCCAAGATCATAGTCAGGGTAGCAACTCCCCAGAAAGTTTTAACCTTCAGCTAGGACCAGGAATAGAATTGGAGAGAAACAGTTTCTTGACAGTCCCTCTCCATGCTGCAAACAGTGAAAGCTAGAGAAGCAGAGAATATGGGATGCCATTCTTAAATATTACAAATCCAGCAATTTTGTTTATTTTCATCACTAAAAATGTCTTTATCTTCTCTTGCTTGGAATGTACCCTCAGTACTGCTACTCAACAACTCTCCTTTTTCCCTTTACTACCCCAAAGCCAGGGGAATTGGTAGATTTTGCAATGTGCCCTTAAACTCAGCCAGTTCAAATCGTTTTAGAACTTGGGACTGAATTCTGAAGCTGGGGCCAATCACAGAAAACAAATTTGCCAGAAGCAGGTTGGGACTGAATTCTGAATCTGGGGCCAATCACAGAAAACAAATTTGCCAGAAGCTACCTTTCCTTTAAATCAAGTCATCTCCAGCTCATCACCTCCACTGATCTCAGCTTCAGAAGTAAGCAACTGGTATACAGCAAGCAGGAACTAAGTCATTTAGGGCTTTATAGGTCAAAACCAGATCCTTAAACTCCACCTGGAAACCAACTAGCAGATGTTACAGGCCATGAAACACTGATGTAATATGGTCACACTTAAGAAGCAGGCCATCGCCTTCAGCACTAAGTGTGTTGGATGAGGTAGTGAAATAAAAACTGGATGTCATCTAGACATGAATTAAGATTTAGTGCACTGAATTCTTCCCCACTGTCTTCCATGCCTTAAAACTCCATTCCTCAGTTTGCAATAATTGGAAAGATAGAGACAACTGGCACTAAAATGATATGCAACATCTGTGCCTTGGTGGGTACAGAAACATTAAATCAGCGAGTGTTCTAAATACTGCATATTTGTGCAACTTCACTTCCTGCTAAAATTACATTAATTCACCATCTGGAAGGAACATCATTTAGAACTATACGAGCATTTAAGTGCCCACTTTGGATTAAATTTGTGGTTGTTGTAAATACCCCTGATTTAGCTTTGATTTGTCCTTTATTAAGCTTGCCAAATATGTAAGAGTTAAATCAGAAGTAGTTTTGCTGGTTGATCTTAATTTTTTTTAAAGCAAACAGGTCCAAAAAACAAGCCACCTCCCAGTTTTTCTTCTTAATTTTCATGTTTAGAGCCCATATATACATCTATCTGTACCTACTGCACCAGACATCATCTAGAAGAGTATAAAAGGCAATATTTTATATATATAAAATAGAAGACTTTTGATAGATATGTCAGGTAACTGTAGAGAGTGTGTTATTTTCTATTTTATGGATCAGAATCAGAATTGACAGCATTAGAGAATCAGTGGTGCCAACAACAGGTTTCACTAGAGGAATTAGTTCTTGGCTGTGTATTTACAGATCAGACAAAACAAGACAGAGAAGTGAAAAAGACACAGGATTCTTCAGCTACCAAAATGAAACTCTGTTTAATATGGCACTATTCGTCAGGAAGGGCAACAGTGGAAGAATAAAAACAGTGAAATCAAACTGTGCACAGTCAAGATATGAGCTTCTTTTTTCTAACTGGTATGTTTACAGCTGTTACTGCTGAGCCTTGTGGGTACCTAGCAGAGGTACATAGAATAGTTACTACTGCGGGACACAATGAAGATGGAGGTCAATCTTAAATTGAGAGGAATAGGAGAAATTGGATAATATTTATATTTACAGTTAGTACCTTAAAATGAGCACACTTGAAAACATCTTTATAGACTAAATTGAGTAAAGAAAGGAATCAAACTGGCCAGCATGGCTTTTAAATCGTGCATTTATTTCAACATACCTGAACAAGCTAGCAATAGCTAGCCACATGTCTGTCCTTTATGGTTACACAACATTTAATGAACAAGAAAATAAGTAGGAAAAATCCTTAAGATGATTTCATGCTATAAATATTTTATATTTTTCTACTGTATAGTTTTAATTAAATTTGATTTATTTTTAATTAGGTTAATATGTTACAGACATAGTTGCTGTCAGGAAACAAACAGCTGGCATTGTAGCAGCCTTGTTCTTCTCTGTAGTCCCTGCTTTTAAACTGACCAGAAGTTCTAGCTGCTGCTGACTCTGAAATCACATAAAAGCAAATTAATTGCCATGCTGGATTAGACCTGTGTTAAATCTAATGCAGTATCCTGTCACTGACAGTGGCCAGACTCAGATTCCTCAGAAGAATTCATGTGGTTACTCAGGTCTCATCAGAAATAATATAAGAAATTTTAACCTAACTACTACATTTAAAAAGGCTGTTTTCAGCACTGTTTTAAGAAAATGGTTGATTCTGAAAACAGACTAATTTCCACTGACTCAGAGTCCATTCTAGTATTTCACTGATGTGCAAAGACATTATAAAAATTCCAACTGATCTAATGACAAAGGATAAATAAATTCTAAATCTAATTTCTCTAGGGAGCACAATAATACCCTCTGGGTACATCTATACAGCACGGCTACTTCAGGATACCAGCGGTAATCCAAAATAGCTACCCCACATCTTAATAAGCCTCCTGTTATTTCAAAATATTTTTTTTAAATAACAGGTGCGCTATTTCGGCATCCCGGTAACCCTCATTCCACGAGGGTTAAGGGATATCTCAAAAAAACATGTTATTTTGAAATTTGGTGCTGTGTAGATGCACCAAATTTCAAAATAGCCTATTTTGAAACTACATCGAAATAAGATACTCAATTTGTGTAGTGCAAATTGCGTATCTTATTTTGAGTTTAGGGTGCTGTGTAGATGCACATATAGGAGTAAAGGAATTCATGACACTTTTAAACTCTACATACAGGTTTCAACTAGATGTCCTTCTCTTCTGAGAGAAATTCAACTTGCTCTTTTTACAGATCAAATATATGACTGAAAGCTTCCTTTATTTAAAGTCTTTAACCACTGACTGCAGAAAAAGTTACAGCATAACTAAGTTGTGCTAAGAATCTGAACTTTCCATTTGGTTTCCTTACATAAATGCATTTATTTTAGAATGTTGCACTACCAGAAGAGTTAATGATCTAACTGTCAACTGTGGGCAAATCATTAGATGCTAAAGGGGTAAATTATGGTATTAACTGACACCATTTTCTGACTATTTTAAAAATTATTTTCCTCACCCCTAATATCAGTTTTTCTGATCTAATAAACCAAAACAATGAGGAGAAGGGAGCAGCCACCATGATCAGAACATGTCAATGAAAAAATTCTTTCTGCATTCTGTGCCTCACTCAGTTCTGGACATCTGGACTTCTTACCTCTTTCTGCCTCTTCATGGAGGCAGATCAGCATTTTGCGTCCTCACAGTCTGGGCGCACACACTCTGATCATGTTTGGCCATCAGTTGAATTATTTGCAAGCTGTAAAACTTGCATAACATTATTCACAAAGATTTTCAATGACAATGAAATAACTATGCACTGTAAAGCAAGGAAAAATGGTCCTGTGTTAATGATTCCATTTAATATCTGACCTTCCTGAGTGACTGAGGATGTACAGAATTGTGGGAGAAGCTCCTAGCACAAAAGGAAATTATCAGTAAGAAATATTCTGTTCTGCAGTCCAGCATCTCCCACAATTTCGACATCTGGGAAACAGTAAATAGTGACCAGATGTAGGCTGGGAGGCGGGGGGGTCTGACACAAAAAGTTCTCTCTTTTTATGAGCTCATTTAAAGGTCTATATTATTTCTTGATTACCACCTGCACTACTTTCCTGTCAAAGGAGTCCTCAGAAAAAGATAGTGCTTGTAGTGCTTACTAATGATATCAGCTGTACACCAAGTGGCTGCTTTACAATTTCCGCATTGGATGCACTTGCTCATTCTACCTACAAGGCTGCAAAGGAACTTGTGGAGTGTGCTTTGATCCAAAGAATCTCTGATTATTTGTATAGACAGCATGTCTGGTTAGTTGCATTGCTCCAAGGAATCTGGCTACCTTTGGATTGTCTGTCAGAGAGCTGAGGATCCTGCAAATAGCATGTTAATCAGAGTAGACACCTGGCACACAATGAGACTGGGCAGAAGGACTATCTATGCTTCCTTGAAGAAAATCCAAACTAGTTAAAATTTCAGGATGGTGTCAGCAAACATATCCATAGCAGCCCATGTATTATATGCATAGCGACTCAGCAGGACCTGCTGGTTCACTATGTGGAGCTGGTTCACTATGCAGAGTTGTAAGTCTCCTGAGGTATAAGTCTTTCTGCCCAGGAGGCCCA